CAAGAGGTCTCCACGATTAACCCAAGAATAATAATAGTAAATAAATAAATTTAATCTAGTCAACAGGAGCCAAGATAAGGACAGCTTGTTACCCATTTGATAATAGGGAAAATCTTCTTTTAACCCAAAGTTTTACTCCAACTTATTTTTAAACCCACCTACTTTCATTATGATCCATACACCCAAAATACAACACCCACTTATTTATAAACCCAAAGTATCAAATACATCATATTTGTATACTGTATACAAAAAATAAAAGATAAATTCGAAATTACACTGTTCTTCTTCTTCCTCCTCCCTAATAACTACTCATGGCTCAACTCACTCTTTCTAATTATCTCCATCCCTAATAACTGTTCTTCTTCTTCCTCCTCCCTAAATTCAAAATTACACTGTTCTTCTTCTTCCTCCTCCCTAATACACCATATTTTTCTGGTTCTCCTCCCACTAAAAAAAAACAATAAAAATTCAAGGGTTTTGATCTCTTGCAATGGCATCCAATGTCAACTTGCAGGTTCTTCTTCGCTAGATCCTTCGTTGAAGGGGGCAGTGGCAGCGGCCCTAGGACCACCACGTCCACTCAAAGCCGACCAATAGAAAACGGCATGTTAACATTTTAAAATTTTTCAGTTTTTTGGCAATATCTTGTTAAAAATGTCTTGTTCTTATAAATTGATGGATTCTTATCAAGCTTATGTTTCAGGAAAGAGTATGTGCATAACAATTTTGCTCATATATATCTATGTTTTGGTGACTAGGTTGATGCATAGAAGGTGTTTGATGGAATGACAAAAGGGATATAGTTATTTGGACCACAACGATTAGCGGTTATGTCATATTGTTGTTGGTTGATGAGGCAATAAAGGTTGTTGATAAAATGTCCCTGAAAAGTTTGGTTTTGCGGACCGCCATGATCTTAGCCCATCAGTATGCCATCCTACGCCCTCCGGTTGCTCCTCACCATTTTCTATTATCGCCAACACCTAACGCAATGCACAGCTACCCCTCAATCAGAAACGATTCGTCAATGCATGTACACTAACTTCCCAATCAAATACATGAGAGAATCCTCTACTCTTTGCATTCGATCAGATCTTAGCATTGTTGTCACATTGCAACCCAAACGGCAAATCAACTACAGCCTGCAATATGATGTACCAAGTAGTATCGAATGTATCGTGTTGTATGAAATTTTCTATATTTTGTATATATAGATTATTTGTGTGTATATTGTATCAAATGCACTATCCAATGTATCATGCTACATCAAATTTTCTATTAGAAATTTATCAGTATATCTAGTAGAAATGTATACAACGTTTCGATAGTGGTGATTTTGGATTATTTCCATTCAATCTTCATGGATTATTTTCATTCAATGTTATGTGCTTGAGTTTAGTGGTTGATAGATATGAATATCTGTAATGAATTGATGCACTGATTGAACTGAAGAAGTTTTGATGGTAGGTTATGGTAACAACAGCCTATTGGGCCATATTATGTTTCGTGTGTCCAATTATCCACCTCGACGAGGGGTCCTCGTTCAATTTTCCAACTTTTGATAAAGTATAGCACTTTATAAGAAAGTATAGCAGCTTATTGATGAAGTATAGCACCTTATGGCAAAGTATAGCACATTATGGCAATAGTATAGCACCTTATCGATAAAGTATAGTACCTTATAGTCTTTGGAAATTCAGCAACTTATTGCGTTGCGATAAACCAAATCAGTTTTGTTAGGGCCATGCAAACACTCAATGACCTACGCTATGTGTCGCGTGACCAATTACACTCAATGACCTACGCTATGTGTCGCGTGACCAATTATCCACCTCGACGAGGGGTCCTCGCTCAATTTTAAAGCTTTTGACAAAGTATAGCACTTTATGGGAAAGTATAGCACCTTATAGCCAAAGTATAACACTATATGACAAAGTATAGCACTTTATTGACAAAGTATAGCACCTTATTGACAAAGTATAGCACCTTATGCTCTCTGAAAATTCTGCACCTTAAGTTGTCTAAAACCAAATTAGTTTTTTTCACCGCAACGCAAACACTCGATGACCTACGTTACGTGTTTATTGACCAATCATCCACCGCGATGAGGGGTCCTCACGCAATTTTGAAGCTTTTAGTAAAGTATAGCACTTTATGAGAAAGTATAGCACCTTATGGCCAAAGTATATCACTATATAACAAAATATAGCACTTTATTGACAAAGTATAACATCTTATTGGCAAAGTATAGCACCTTATGCTCTCTGGAAATTCTGCACCTTAAGTTGTCTAAAACCAAATCAGTTTTTTTCACGGCAACACAAACACTCGATGACCTACGTTACGTGTTTATTGACCAATCATCCACCGCGATGAGGGGCCCTCACGCAATTTTGAAGCTTTTGGCAAAATATAGCACTTTATGAGAAAGTATAGCACATTATGGCCAAAGTATAGCACTATATGGCAAAGTATAGCACTTTATTGGCAAAGTATAGCACCTTATTGGAAAAATATAGCACCTTATGCTCTCTGAAAATTCTGTATCTTAAGGTGCTATACTTTGCCAATAAGGTGCTATACTTTTCCAATAAAGTGCTATACTTTGCAATATAGTGCTATACTTTGGCCAAAAGGTGCTATACTTTCCCATAAGGTGTTATACTTTTCCCAGAAGCTTCAAAATTGCGCGAGGACCCCCCGTCGCGGTGGATGATTGGTCAATAAACACGTGACGTGGTGGTCGAGTGGTTTCGTCGCGGCGAAAAATTAAGGTGCAGAATTTCCAGAAAGCATAAGGTGCTATACTTTGCCAATAAGGTGCTATACTTTGCCAATAAAGTGCTATACTTTGCAATATAGTGCTATACTTTGCTCATAAGGTGCTATACTTTCCCATAAGGTGCTATACTTTGCCCAGAAGCTTCAAAATTGCGCGAGGACCCCCCTTCGTGGTGGATGATTGGTCAATAACACGTGATGTTGGTCGTCGAGTGGTTTCGTCGCGGCAAAAAAAACTGATTTGATTTTAGGCACTTAAGCTGCAGAATTTCCAGAAAGTATAAGGTGCTATACTTTGCCAATAAGGTGTTATACTTTTCCAATAAAGTGCTATACTTTGTAATATAGTGCTATACTTTGGCCAAAAGGTGCTATACTTTCCCATAAGGTGCTATACTTTGCCCAGAAGCTTCAAAATTTCGCGAGGACCCCCCGTCGCGGTGGATGATTGGTCAATAAACACGTGACGTAGGTCGTCGGTGGTTTCGTCGCGGCGAAAAAAACTGATTTGATTTTAGGCTCTTAAGCTGCAGAATTTCTAGAAAGTATAAGGTGCTATACTTTTCCAATAAGGTGCTATACTTTGTCAATAAAGTGCTATACTTTATAATATAGTGCTATACTTTGGCCAAAAGGTGCTATACTTTCTCATAAGGTGCTATACTTTGCCCAGAAGCTTCAAAATTGCGCGAGGACCCCCCATCGCGGTGGATGATTGGTCAATAAACACTGACGTAGGTCGTTCGAGTGGTTTCGTCGCGGCGAAAAAAACTGATTTGATTTTAGGCACTTAAGCTGCAGAATTTCCAGAAAGTATAAGGTGCTATACTTTTCCAATAAGGTGCTATAATTTATCAATAAGGTGCTATACTTTGTAATATAGTGCTATACTTTGGCAATAATGTGCTATACTTTCCCATAAGGTGCTATACTTTGCCCAGAAGCTTCAAAATTGCGCGAGGACCCCCCGTCGCGGTGGATGATTGGTCAATAACACGTGACGTAGGTCGTCGAGTGGTTTCGTCGCGGCGAAAAAAACTGATTTGATATCACCTTATTGGCAAAGTATAGCACCTTATTGGCAAAGTATATCAATTCATTACAGATATTCATATCTATCAACCACTAAACTCAAACACATAACATTGAATGAAAATAATCCATGAAGATTGAATGGAAATAATCCAAAATCACCACTATCGGAACGTTATATACATTTCTACTAGATATACTGATAAATTTCTAATAGAAAATTTGATGTAGCATGATACATTGGATAGTGCATTTGATACAATATACACACAAATCATCCATATATACAAAATATAGAAAATTCCACACAACACGATACATTCGATACTACTTGGTACATCATATTACAGGATGTAGTTGATTTGCCGTTTGGGTTGTAATGTGACAATAATGCTAAGATCTGATCGAATGCCAAGAGTGGAGGATTCTCTTCATCAACCACCTTTATTGCCTCCTCAACCAACAATAATATGGCATAACCGCTGATCGTTGTGGTCCAAATAACTATATCCCTTTTGTCATTCCATCAAACACCTTCTATGCATCAACCTAGTCACCAAAACATAGATATATATGAGCAAAATTGTTATGCACATACTCTTTCCTGAAACATAAGCTTGATAAGAATCCATCAATTTATAAGAACAAGACATTTTTAACAAGATATTGCCAAAAAACTGAAAAATTTTAAAATGTTAACATGCCGTTTTCTATTGGTCGGCTTTGAGTGGACGTGGTGGTCCTAGGGCCGCTGTCACCGCCCCCTTCAACGAAGGATCTAGCGAAGAAGAACCTGCAAGTTGACATTGGACGCCATTGCAAGAGATCAAAACCCTTGAATTTTTAGGATTTTTTTTGAGTGGGAGGAGAACCAGAAAAATATGATGTATTAGGGAGGAGGAGGAAGAAGAAGAACATTGTAATTTCGAATTTAGGGAGGAGGAAGAAGAAGAACAGTTATTAGGGATGGAGATAATTAGAAAGAGTGAGTTGAGCCATGAGTAGTTATTAGGGAGGAGGAAGAAGAAGAACAGTGTAATTTCGAATTTATCTTTTATTTTTTGTATACAATATACAAATATGGTGTATTTGATACTTTGGGTTTATAAATAAGTGGGTGTTGTATTTTGGGTGTATGGATCATAATGAAAGAAGGTGGGTTTAAAAATAAGTTGGAGTAAAACTTTGGGTTAAAAGAAGATTTTCCCTTGATAATATGAAGAGTATACAAACACAGAATCAATTACAGCAACTCTCATCTCACTTACAACAATACATGCTAATACCACAAAACCTCCCAAATCCCAACTGTCATCAGAAGAACTCAAAGTCCAGGTACTTGCCTCCAGACTTCACGTCACCCCCTCCCATCCTCTTACTGCTACTCCCACCATTTTCTCCTCCTCCTCCTCCTCCTCCTCCTCTCATCGGAATCTCGGCCTCCACCGGCCTCGGCACCTCCGGCGGTGTACTACACCGTATCAGCGCCCAGTTCACCCCTTCAAAGAAGGGATGCTGCTTGATCTCCGTCGCTCCCCTCTTCACCCCCAACCGATGCTGAGGCTCCTTGACCAGCAGACCCCTGATCAGATCCCTGCTTGAATAGCTCGTCGCAGGAGATTCCGGAAACCTAAGCTGCTGCCCAACCACATTGAACAGCGTCGCCCGGTTGCCTGACCCCTTGAATGGGGTTTTCCCGTACAAAAGCTCGTGGAGGAAAATCCCGAAGGTCCACCAGTCTACAGCGCTCCCGTGGCCTTCGCCTTTTATTATCTCGGGCGCGAGGTATTCGTGAGTTCCTACGAAGGACATGGAACGAGCACTTGTGGGTTCAGCCACGAGCTCAGGTAGGGTGGTAGAGTGTTGAGTGGGCTCGGGTCTAGGTTTTCTTGAAGTTTTCTTGTTTTTTTGAGAGAACAACCTAGGCATGAAGCATGCGGGTTGGATACACGCAGATGAAGGATTGATACACGCAGGTTGGACACAGAATGCACCTATTGATCGTTTAGAAGGGTCAGAGTCGAGCGATGAGGACTTTATTAGGGTTGGTGATACTGCACATCTTAGTGAGAGATCAAAGTCCGATAGCATTATGTGACCATCGTCACGGACAAGAACATTTTCAGGTTTGAGGTCTCTGTAGACAACTCCGAGCATGTGCAGGTACTCTAAAGCCAATAGGACTTCTGCCGCGTAAAATCTGCACAGACAGGTAAATAATATAAATTGTAAAATATTGTAAGAAGCTTCTATGATACAATAATTGAGGAAACAAGACATTCAGTTGACAGGTTTGAACAAGGAAAGATCATCCGTGGGTCTAGTGATGCATCGCATTGTCAATCTAGTCATTTAATTAACTGGTCATAATTCTTTTATTTATTCATTATTTTCTTTTCCTATTCAGCAGACAACTAAAATTTTCTGCTAAAAATATGTTACAGTAACGGATAAGTCATTCTCAATGGTATACGAGACAATGCGTATACAGGATATAAGAATGTTGTCAGGTAAAGAATCTCCTCTGTTATGCATATTCCTTATACTAGTTGTCAGCATGGTATACTTAATTTGAAAGCAGGCATTGAGAGGGAACATAGAGGGCAAAAAAAAAGGCTTTACTGTGGGTTAAGAAGGTATTTCCTACGTTTCCTTCCGTCCTTTACCTTATACTGGATGGTTGACATTCAGGCAGTACCCTGAATTGCTGAGGGGATATTACTGGAAGACTCCGTCATTGCAAAATCAAGAAGATAATCTTGCTTGTATTTTTAAATTCTTATGCTTTAAAGTTGGACGATAATGTAAAAAAATTGGATACCCTGGATATACTTCCACATCCAGCATGTTTTTTTGAAGTTAAATTGATAGTTAATGGGCACCCTAGACTTGTTTTAGTGAGTTATTATGTTTAGACTCGGACTTATACGTGAGCAATAGATACTGCCACACCCTGGTAAATTGCATATGGGTACATCATGATTTTCCAAGAAAATTAAATGTAACTTTCTTAGTTATAAAAGGACAAAAGGTGGTAATCTGCACTCTCCATTTCCCGCTTGTATCAATTCTTAAACTGAAGAGAACTTTACATAACAACCCAAAACCGCCACCACCCCTACCCCCACCCCCACCCAAAGAAAAAGAAAAGAAAAGAAAACAAAAAGAAGGAAAGGCCACCGCATCTCAAAATTCTACCAAACCCTCCTGAACTATGGGAAGATCTCATAAACAATGTTAATGAGTAGAGTGATAAGTTTGAATTATGACAAATCAAAACTTGTGATGAAAAACTGAACAAAGAACATTCATGTAGGAGGACAGGACAACAATCAGGCCACATTACCTTCTACTCTACATGCTAGCGCCATTATCAGATTTTCCTATAGTTTGGGTTTTACTAAAAGTTCCGGGAGGTTCTCTGATTTATAAAATTAAGGGGCTTTTAGTGTGAAACCTCATAGGTTATAGTGTTTGTGAAATTTACCGTTTCATTAAGTACTTAGATACAGATTAAAGTCTATACTTGTGTGCCTTCATATAGATATTAGTTGTTGAGAAAGAGTGTCTATGCTCCCAATTAAATGTTTAACATAGATATATTTCTTTTCTCTTTTTCTTCTCTTTTCATAAGAAAAATTATCTAATCACCAAGACATTATGCTGCTGGTACTGACTAGATGCGCACTTGAAGTTGGAACCTATTAAATTAATAGTGGTTAATGGTTGTACCCGAACCTTAAATTTGTATGGCTATATATTTCTCTCTATTATCTTAATAAACAATACTAGGGTTTCTCTATATCTCTACATATATCAGAGCATGAAACCATCCGCCAAAATCGTTCCCAAAAACCGCCGCCGCCGGTCCTCTTCACCATCACCACTACGCCGCCCCCTCCTTTGTTCTTAGCCCGCCCCACCTGCTGCGCCCCCTTGCCGCCGCTCCCTCTCGCTAGCCGAAAACCAACCGCTCTACCGCTGCTACACCACCCCTTACCACACCTGCCCCGCAGCCGCTTCCTGCCGCAGCATCACCCCCCTGCCCCCCTTGCAGCAGCCGCGCCATGTCGCAGCCGCCCATCGCTTGCAGCCGCCCCTCCCCTCGGTAGCCGAACAACCCTTAGCCACCCGCTGCCCCTCTTGCTACCCTCGCTGCATCGCGCGCATCCTGCTGCAGACCCATGCGCTTGTTTTGTGCGTTGGCCGTTGACACTGTTATTGCAGTGTTGACTATTCCCTCGACATTTCAGTCCAGAACTGATGAGAGGAAATGTGTATATCTCATCTTGTTGAGATATTTCACTTCTATTCTTATTTCCTTCGAAAAACGAGAATTTCACTTCTATTCTTGTTTCCTTCGAGAAACGAGAATATAGAGTTTAACTTGAGCCTTTGTGCAAACAGAAGCCAGGGCTCTCTCCCTCAGGTGATATCGCCTCCACGGCGTGAGGGCGTGACTATCTACTACTCTGCCTCTTATGTTTTTCAGATCTGGTATATGTCCGGCTGAAATATTATCATCCTGCTCCTGACCTGCTTTTAGTTTATGTTTCAAGAACAGATCTCTATTACTATATTGCCTATTTGACTACTATATGTCTACTATTGTTGCGATAAAATGACTACTTCGATGTCGGATATCTCCTCCTCTACTACTCCTTCTGTTGTTGCTGGAGAGACCTCTGCGCCCAAGGTAGTCTTGGGGGCTACAATTAAATTAAATGGTACAAACTATCTGCTCTGGGTATAAGCTTTCTGCATCTTCATTGGCGCTTAGAACAAACTCTCACATCTTCTGGCATCTCCACCACCCACCTCAGATCACACATACACTTCATGGCTCTCATCTGATTATTGTGTTATGACTTGGCTTTTCAATAGTATGGAAGCACAGATCAGTAGCAGCGTTATATTTTTAACCACTGCGAAGAAGATGTGGGATAGCTTGAAGATTATGTACGGGAATGGAAAGAATGTTTCCCGTGTATTTGAGATTTATTAGCGCCTATTTACGCTCAAATAGGAAGATAGGTCAGTTCCGAAGTTCTTTGGTGAGTTGAAATGACTGATAAACGAACTAGAGATGCATCAGCCTGCGGTAGCTGATGTAACGACGTTGTTGGGGTATCGACGCGATCTGACAGTGTCCAAATTTCTTTTTGGATTGCACCCTAATTTATAGTCTCAGGTGAGGGGACAGATATTGGGTGAAGATATCATTCCCTTATTGACTGCTACATTCTCCAGAGTCATACAGAGGTCTCTACTGGTGTTACTTCTGCTACTATTGCATCGTCTCAACCTATAATGGATCAATCTGTCATGTTCTCTAGTCGAGGCAGAGATCGCGGTCGTGGTCGTGGCCGTGATTCAGGGGGAGGGCGTGGCTCCTTTGATGGGAGATAAGGTGAAGCTGATAAAGGCTCACGTCAGTGTGATCACTGTGGGAGAACCAATCATATTTCTGAGAAGTGTTGAGAGATGTTTGGTCGTCCTCAGTGGGGCCAGGTAGCTGACACCGAGTCGACTCACTCGCCTATTTCTGCTACTACTTCTAGTGGTCCAGCTGTTACTGCCTCTATTGTTTAGATTTCTCAGGCAGATTATGAGAGGTTACGCCAGCTAGATCTCTCTCAGAACATTCATTCTGCTACTCATACATCCTCTTCAGGTATGGATGCTTACATTGCTTCTTCTCACAAACCCTGGGTACTAGATTCTGGAGCCTCATCTCATATGAGAGGTATAAATGATCACTTTGTATCTTTACATCTTTCTGATAAGTTTCTCTTTATCCGCATTATTGATGGTACTCTTTCTCCAGTTTGTGGTGATAGAGTAGTTCATGCTACTCCCTCTTTAAAACTAACTGATGTGTTATATGTTCCCAAATTCCCTGTTAGCCTATTATCCATTAGCAAGTTTACAAAATAAAAAAAATTATAAAGTCACATTCTTTCCATCTTATTGTGTTTTTCAGGACCTAGCAATTGGGATGACGATTGGTTCGGGACATAAGAGAGAATGTATGTACTGGTTCGGGACATAAGAGAGAATGTATGTACTATTTGAACGATAGTGTGTCAGAAGCTGGTCTTGTTGCATCGCAGGCTGACTCTACTTTATTATGGCACTGACGTCTGGGTCATCATTCACTACAAAACTTAGATCGGTAGTTTCTGTTCAGCCATCTATTTTCTCTTTAGGTTGTGAGTCGTGTGAGCTGGGTAAGCACCATCGTGCTACTTTTCAGAGTCGTGTCGATAAACGCAATAGCTTTGCTTTTGAGTTGGCTCATTCTGATGTCCGGGGTCCTTATCGTGTTCCCTCTGTGCAAGGTATTTGATATTTCATTATCTTTATTGATGATTTCTCTCGCATGACGTGGCTTTATTTGTTAAAAGAGAGGTCAGAGGTCTCGCACGTTATTGAACTCTTTTATAAAGAAATAAAAACTCAGTTCTCTACTTTTGTTCGTATTCTTCGTACTAATAATGCTTTGCAATATATGAAAAGTAACGTTTTAAAATTTTGTGCTCTTAATGGCATTATTCATCAGACTTCTTGCTCTCACACTTCACAATAAAATGGAGTTACTGAGAGGAAGCATAGACATAATGTTGTAGAGACTCAAAGAATGAACAAAGACCAAAAAAGAAAAATATTGTAGAGACTCAAAGAATGTAAAGTACTCATTTTCAGTTTATGAGAAGTTTTTATCTTTGAGCCTCCTAATATTTTTAATGGCCAACATATGTTCTCAAAGGATGTTGAACAATTAGAATTAAATGCATGTAAATTTTCCTGTAAATGGACATGAAAAATTTCAAGAAAGAACAAAGACCAAAGAAAAAAATATTGTAAAGGCTCAAAGAATGTAAACTACTCATTTTCATTTCATGTATTGGTTTGATAAGTTCAACAAGGTTATTTCTAGTATTGGTTTCCAACGCTGTCAGTCTGATCACTTTGTCTTTCTTTGGCGCACAACAACTGGTTTGGTTATTTTAGTTGTATATGTTGATATTCTGCTAACTAGGAGTGACTCTGAGTATCTAAATCGTCATTTTGTCACTAAGGACATAGGAAAGTCAAAGTATTTTCTTAAGATTAAAGTTGCATATAAAAAACATGACATGTTGTTGTCCCAAAGGAAGTATGTGCTAGAGTTACTAGAAGAAGTAGGTCTCTTGGAATGCAAACCTGCAAGCACTCCAATGGAGGTACATATTGATTTGTGGCGTGATGATACCTCTCTACTAGATGGTACTGAGCAATATAGGAGACTGATTGGAAAGCTAATATATTTGACAGTTACCAGACCTGATATTACCTTTGCAGTAGGTGTACTGGGCAGGTTTATGCATAAACCTAGAGAGGTTCATTGGACAGCAGCTCTGAAGATTTTGACATATGTCAAGAGTTGTCCGGGCAAGAGATTGCTATATAAGAAGCATGAGCATACTCACATTTTGACTTCCTCTAATGCTGGCTACGCAGGAGACATGGGAGACCGAAAGTCGACCTCAGGATTCTGTACTTTTGTTGGAGGTAATCTTGTGACTTGGAGAAACAAGAAACAAGATGTAGTAACACAATCTAGTGCAGAGGCCGAATATAGAGCAATGGCTCACACTGCTTGTGAGATGGTGTGACTACGAAAGTTTATGACAGAGCTTGGTTTTGTTCAGCCTGGACCTATGTCAATGCATTGTGACAACCAGTCTGCCATTTATATTGCACAGAATCTTGTGTTTCATGAGAGGACAAAACATATTGAAGTTGACTGTAATTTTGTCAGAGATGCTTGGGAGAAGAAGATAGTATCTCTCATATTCACTCCGTCCTCACAGCAACTTGCTGATATTTTTACCAAGGCTACTTATTCAAAGGTGTTCTATACTATATGTGACAAGCTGGCCATGGTAAACATCTATGCTCCAGCTTGAGGGGGAGTGTTAAATTAAGTATTGGGTATTGGGTTAATGGGCTGTTACCCGTTAACCTTAACCCTATTTGTATGGCTATATATATCTCTCTTATTATCTCAATAAACAATAACTAGGGTTTTCTCTATTCTCTACCAAACATCTGCATGTTTACATGCTATGTTTCTGCGTCACAAAAAGTGTGATTCCAGTTTATTTGATGAAGCATAGCCTATTGAAATATTGCAGCTAGTTGAACTTTTAGTACTGAGAGGCTTGACATCCCATCCCATTTTCTTTCCATATCTTTGATGCATCCAGCACATATTTAGGATCAACCTATCCTGCAGAATCAGACTCCAAAAAGAATAAGAATAAAGAAAAGGAGAATAGGATTTCTCCTCTGACTCAGGTAAAGAATGTTCATAGTGCAAACCTGATAAACTTATTATATTCTAATAGCCGCTGTTATGCCCTTCAGTCTTAAATGATGTACGCAACCCATAAGTGGTGTCGAGGATATAAAAATAATTTAAGCTAAAATTGTCTCCCCATGTAATTATTATTGTAGCGGTGAGAATCTCACAATCTCAACTTATATGCATAAAGCATAGGCCACATCAGATAGCAGTTCTGGCTATCATCATTCTCTAATTGGCTAATGTTCTATACAAGTGGGATCCTAGTCCAATTAGAAGGCGTGATAGCATAAGCAATCCACACTTGATACAACTGTTCTGGAGAAATAGAACAGATGTTTGAACCTGCTCCAGCATGGAATCGGCAAACATCCAATGAACTTAGACTAAGAGAATTCATGTCAAAAACCACATTCAGCAATAATCATGGCAATAAACTTCACAACTTGAAACTTACACATGAAAGATATTAACTTCCTAATTAACAAGTGGACATATTTCAGAAACAAAAACCCTTACCTTAAATGGATTCGTATGCCATGGTTGCCCATAGGAGACAGAAGTATCCAGAGGAAAGACAGAAAATGCGAACAAGTAGACACGGACTAAAAGATGTAAAAAATAATAATGAAAATAACTGTTCTCTTATTTTGCACCGATACTTTATTGAGATGAAAACGTAAGGCAATACGCATGGTATTTAGTAAATAAACGCTAAGTGTATCCTTACTAGCAGGAAACAAGAAGTTCAGAACATATTTATCATGACGAAATGGGTAGAGAAAACAACAAAGTGGAATAAAGGGAAATCATATTAGAAATGGCGTTTATGAAAATACTGAAAAATGATAAATAGATCGAAAGATGTAATGTCCTCAGATTAAATATTACCTTGCGGCGTACTCCGAAAAGTATTTCCCTGGCTGGCGCTGTCTCAAAGTGTGCAAATCACCACCCGGACAGAACTCCATAACTAAACAGGAAAATCTATCAGTATCAAAATGAGTATACAAAGTAGGAAGGAATGGATGATCCAGAAGCTGAAGAATCTCCCTCTCAGTTTGAGCCCTTGTGAGCTTCTTCCTGCTCGCCAGTGATGCTTTGTCCATCACTTTCATAGCAAAGAAGCACCTCGTTCCACTCAGTTCTGACAAGTAAACACTACCAATATCGCCACATCCCAACCGTCTAAGCAACCTAAAATGGCTCATACCCAATATACCATTCCGAGCCCTAACAGCAAGAATAGCCTTCCATCTAGGATCATTCCCCTTGTGAGGCTTGTTAGCGCTCCCGGTCACATTGCTCCAATTACTATCATCACTGAGGCCACTGCTGTCGCTTGCTCTGCTTACGCTTGTTCTTGCACTCTCAAGTGAATCCCCTCTAACACTTGCCTTACCACTCTCACAAGTTCTTTCACTGATCATTCCATCACTTCGATATGTATTTGTACAGCTATTCACAATACTCATAGTAGTTGCGACTCCACTACTGTCAATGCTACTGTGAGGGCTTACATTGCCACTGGGAGGTAGTGAAGCGTCCCACAATATCTCCTTCTCCTCAGAATCCTGAGGTAAATATGCAGGCTCTGCACTAAAGGGAGAAGGCGGCGTGCTCGATTCAACATTCTCTTCAACCGCATGTGATTTCAAACCCGAAACCCTAATTGGAAGGCCTCTAACAGGCAGGCTTTTAATCAAACACTTCTCTTCGCATTTGTTCTGGTCGATTGCTACATAAACCGTCTTCATCAAATCCATGTCTATTGGTTCCGGAGGATGACTAGCACCCGAGAACGAAGAATGTGCCTCTTCTTCGCAGTAGTCACCACTCTTAATGCTAATAACCTCAGGAGTTGAATCATCTGGCTCTTGTAAAGAACCTTTCCCCTTGCTATTTGCTTTCAAAGGGACTGGTTTGTCTAAATTTTGATATTTTTTCGAAGGATTTGAACTTTCTTCTCCTTTGAAAATGCTTCCGTGAGAACTCAAAGCTTGAATAACAGCAGGGAGCTCCT